AGTAGAACAAGGCTTTATTTGGAACTGACAAGAAAAATAAAAGCTTCCATACCTACCCGGATTCAGGAGGTTACATAGTAAGCAAATTTATCAGGAGAGAGAAAAGACCACAAGATAAATCACAAAAAGAACCCTAGTCTGCTTTAGAGTAGTAGTAAGTAGTGTAATGATGAATTGAAGAAGTACAAGATAAAAGATTTATGGAGAGCATTACACGGCTGGAACCACCTAAAGGAGAACAAGGAAAAAATAAACACAAGCTAGGGTCAGAGAAAAGACACAAATTAAGGAGTGAAGGTAAGGGTTGTGAAGAAAATTAGTCACAAAGTTGACTATCTGAGTAAGAAATTGAGAAATACAAAAATTATAGGTTTTAGTACCAGCAGGGCCAATGGTGTGAGAGCCAAGCTACTCAGTGTGATGAGCATTAAAGTCACCAATAACAATTTGGTATAGTCAATTTGATAAGAAACCTTATCTAAAAAAGTACAGTTTTGAGAAGAAAGGAGAATGATAAAGAACAAAGATAAAGGTGATAGAGTGAAGAAGTGATAATCGGAAGCACTTTAAAGTGATCAGAGGATTCAAACCTGATTTTTCAAAGTAGAATAAGACTCAACTTAAGATGGACAGGAAGGAATAAAAACCTCCATACTCATGGGTGCTTAATGCAAGGGAGAGGGGAGGGATTAAAGGGAATTATACTTCAGATTTAATAAACGGGGAGGTCTTAATAAAAGAGGGGAATATTATTTTGGGAATTTCAATAGGATTTAATATTTTTATATAAGTTTTATACTATGACAAAAAATAAACAAAAATTTGATTTTTGACAAATCAAAATATATAAGATTTTATTAAAGGTCAAAGGACAAGAAGGAAAGTCTTAACAAGCTTGGAATGGATGGGAAAAATTTCTTAAAATTAATAAACGTCTCCTTCTGTTTATTAGGAATATAAGAGTACTTGCTTGGACTCAAGAGGTTAGGTATGAGGTGGATTTACACATTCATAATATGGATAGGTATGGATATAAACATATACAATTGACATTTATTTAGATGCTGGCATACAATATCCTTACATATTTATATAAACTTTAGTATATATATGGTGTAGTATTTGTCAAAAGAGAAAATGATAACCAGATGGATGTGTGGTATGACCCTAACAAGACAAGAAAAGGAGCCATAACCGTAGACAGAGATTGGAAAAAACGTTGTTTCGAACATTTGTTAGAGAAAATTTTTGGTTTGGTTATCAGCATTTAGAGAGGTAGCAGCTTTAGGAGAAAATAGTAGAGTTAGAAATAAGAAAACCTGGAGAGAGTGTGTTACATATGGTATGAGTAAGCTTTAGTTTAGAAATAAATATGTTCTGGATTGTTTATATTAGAGAAACAGTCTATACGGGGAAGGGTAAAGCTTGATGATGATGATGATGATGATGATGTTGATGATGATGATGATGATGATGATGATGATGATGATGATGATGATGATGATAATGATAATAATGATGATGATGATGATGATAATGATGATGATAATGATAATTATGATGATCATGTTGATCATCATGATGCTTATGTTTAAATATACATGAAAATATATACATATATAAAATATAACATGAATTTCAAATAAAAAAAATACTTCAAGACGTATCAATTTTTTTTTTTACCCATGCTATTTTTTATCCAACCTCGCCCTGTCAAATTTCAACCCCGGTTAGTTACTAAATACATATCCTGATGTGGTATACCCTGAAATCATCAAGGATATTTAAAAACTTGCCTGGTAAAAAAGACATTGTTTGTTTTAGATAAAAAAAAAAACATGCCCAAAAAATTAGTTTTGTATGACTTTAAAAAACTCTATACAGTATATAAAATAAAAATACATGCCTTTTAGATTAAAAAAAAAAAACATGCCCAAAAAATTAGTTTTATATGACTTTAAAAAACTCTATACAGTATATAAAATAAAAATACATGCCTTTTAGATTAAAAAAAAAAACATGCCCAAAAAATTAGTTTTATATGACTTTAAAAAACTCTATACAGTATATAAAATAAAAATACATACCTTTTAGATTAAAAAAAAAAAACATGCCCGAAAAATTAGTTTTATATGACTTTAAAAAACTTACAGTATATAAAATAAAGTCCTCAGATTAAGGGTTGTCAGATGTCCCACGCAGAGGAGAATAGAGTGTTAAACCTGTAAAAATATTTTTTTTCCTATGTTCTCCTTTATAAAAGCCTGACATCAGGCAACCCTGACCATAATATTAGATTCTCAGACCATAATATTAGATTCTCCAAATTTTGCAGTCTTTGACCTAAATAGTGCATCCTTTCTTGTCTAATAGTAAGAAATCTGCAGAGAACCATTGAAATGATTGTCTGCAGCAGAGGATCATTGAAATGATTGTCTGCAGCAGAGGATCATTGAAATGATTGTCTGCAGCAGAGGATCATTGAAATGATTGTCTTCAGCAAAGGATCATTGAAATGATTGTCTGCAGCAGAGGATCATTGAAATGATTGTCTGCAGCAGAGGATCATTGAAATGATTATCTGCAGCAGAGGATCATTGAAATGATTGTCTTCAGCAAAGGATCATTGAAATGATTGTCTGCAGCAGAGGATCATTGAAATGATTGTCTTCAGCAAAGGATCATTGAAATGATTGTCTGCAGCAGAGGATCATTGAAATGATTGTCTGCAGCAGAGGATCATTGAAATGATTATCTGCAGCAGAGGATCATTGAAATGATTGTCTGCAGCAGACGATCATTGAAATGATTATCTGCAGCAGAGGATCATTGAAATGATTGTCTGCAGCAGAGGATTATTGAAATGATTGTCTGCAGCAGAGGATCATTGAAATGATTATCTGCAATAGAAAATCATTAAATTTGATCAAAGCGATGTTCCATAAAAACAATATGAAAATTAATTTCAAATAATGGATAATAACAGATAGAATTGACCTATTAAAAATAAACAATCTACCATTAAATGAATTTATAGAGCCCTTGTGTAAAAAACTTGATAAAACTACTTCTCATTCTTTTATCACAAAACCACAAATAAGCCATCTAAAGCAACTTATAAAGAAAAAGAAAACTACATTTTTGTGGTACAAGACAAAATACAAAGATAAAATTGAAGCAAAAAGTAACACTTTCTTCATCCAATTGTCATCTATTTGTTGAAAAAAAAATTGTAGGCATATTTTTTTTGTATGCAAAATTTTAGATGGATTTACAATTTTCAACAATTTATGTCTAACAATTTATAACAATTTATGTCTACGATTTAAACAATTTATGTCTCCATGTTGAATATTTTTCTGCTTGTTGTATCTGAAACAAACCATGGCTAATCACCATATGATGCTATAGATGACACTGTAAAAATTATTACCAGCTAACGAAGCATACTTACAGCTTTATTTGCAAACTTGTTGCAATCTCACAGAGCCCAACCACAGATTTAACACTGTCGACTTGGTTATGATATTGCAACAACTATTGTGCAAATAGTGCAAACTTTACTGACTAGGTATGTGGCTTTTGAAATTAATGAAGAGATCATCTACTATTTCTAAGTTGGTTAAACTACTGCCCTAACTAAGTTAAAGTCTGCCAAGAATGTACCATCAACATTCTGTTGTTAAAATATCAACAATGTTCTGGACGCCATTACCAAAGAAAAAAAAGAAAAAAAAAATCTAAGCTGAGCAGCTTTGATATCCTCAGTGAATGTTACCGAATATTTAACTCTTATGATGGTATAAACTTTAACCTCAATATCTCCATAATATTTGCTTAATCCAACTTTTTTAATTTTTGTTTTATTTTAACACAAGAACGGTTTTTTGAAAAGATTAACTTAATAAAACTTTTTAACTTTCTTTAAAATTTGACTGAATATATTCTAATCATAAAAACTTTGTAACAATTGTGCGTATTTTTAAAACTTTAATTTATTAAACTGTTTACTAATCTAATTAAATTTATTCAAATATTCTGAAAAGTTTTTAGCATAACCAAAATAGCATACACTTACAAATTATTCGTTAGCAAAAAAGCTCACTTTCATATCCGAGCTGAGCATTGGCACAAGACTAAAAAAAAACTGTTAATATGACTCGTAAATTGTTAATGTGACTTGTTAATCTTTGAAAACTCGTAATTATGTCACCCATTTAATAATTTTCCACTTAACTATAGGAACTAAATTGTAAAACAATTTAGTTCCTATAGTTAAGTGGAAAATTCTCAGGCGATGTAAAGCATATAATCCTACATCCAAATCTTGTAAATTATGTCTCACCGAAAAATATGAAATCCTAAATTATAAAAATACCAATCTACTAAATAAAAGGAGTGAGATTGTTTCTAAGTGCAGACATAGAAACAGATTCCTCCTTTCTCAATTTGACACTGGCGATTAGAAAATATGTTTTTTCCGTAATATTATTATTATTGTTAATATTATTGCTATTATTATTATTATTATTATTTTTATTATTGTTATTATTATATTATTATTATTATTATAATCATTATTATTTTTGCTATTATTTGTATTATAATTATTTGACGTCAGAACTCATTCCATTGTTTTTTTTGAATTTTGTAACGGTTTTTTAATTGTATTTTTGAACGGTTTTTTCTTGATTTAAATATATGGCTGATGAGTGCCGAAAACGGCATGAAACTTTAAGTACCGTAAAAAAGTTGTTTTTTCTCATCTAACCTTTTATTTATTTATTTATATATATATATATATATATATATATATATATATATATATATATATATATATATATATATATATATATATATATATATATAACACATAATAAAACAATTATAAAGTTTTATTTATATAAAATATAAATATGAAAATATTTATATTTATTATCAGTTTATTACATATTATAACAAACATATAATAAATATAAACATTTTTCATAAAAACTCACTTTTCTCTTTAGATTTATCTTGCTTTTGAAATTGCTTTCTAAGTGATAAACTAATGCGCTTCTTCTTTGCAATTATTAATTCAATTGTTTGCATTAATCTTCTTTCTACAACAGCTATATCTGCATCAGTAACATGACGCATAAAGTAGGACATGTAGGTGTAAGGACAATTGACTGCACCGAATCCAGATAATATAGCCATAAGTGTGACGCCAATTACTCCTACACGGCTTACACCTTGTTCAATAGAAAACATACCATGGTTTGCACTTAAAATAGGAAATGGGTTTCGTAGTTTCCAGAAAACATAAAAAAATCCAAACCAATAGACAAATGTTAATAACCGTTGAAAAATTCGAGGCACCCAATATAAATTTAGGAAAAAAAAATAGCCAATGTAAAAAGGGATCATAAAAACAAGAACAAGAAGCATACAATATATTAAAAGTTTCCAATGGAACAACCGAGAGCTTGGTAAAAGGTATCCAAGAATTTCAAATATTATTAACTCAAACATCATACAAGATAGTGAAAATGTTACAGAGAAAACTAGCTGAACAACAATATGACGAATCTCATAATTTTTAAACAGCTGTCGCATAAAGAACACCCAACCAAAACAAAAAAAGAGAATTTCTGAACCAAATACAACAATTGAATCAAATAAAAAAGACATTTTTTATTCCATTGGTCACAACCTAAAAATTTACAAAAGAAAAGTAAATAAATATATAGAATATTATTAAAGCATATATTTTGCATATTTAAAAGTTTTAAATATGCAAAATATATTTTTGTTTTAATAAAACAAAAAAAATCTAACTTTGTTTTAGAACTGATGTTTTAAAAAACTGATGCAGTAGTAAATTAGTAGTAAAACTTTATCTAACTCGAGCTTCTACTTCCTGATGATCCTGCTAAAAAAAAACTGACAGTAGAAACTCAAGTTAGATAAGCTTGCTTATCTAACTTCATAAGACTTGCTTAATGGGGTGACTTTTTAATATAAACATAAGGAATATTTACTGGCTTCAACAGATACATCAACTATCTTATATTCTTCTGCGACAGAAGAATATAAGATAGTTGATGTATCTGTTTGAAGGCTTCTACATCGACTATCTTTAAACCTGCTGCTACAAGGAAGTGCTGCTACATCGACTGAGGGTTTGACATGGGACAGCAATGTTTTTTCTTTTGTTACTTCAATTAATATTCCTAATGTTTAATAAGTCTCCACTGACAAGAGCGCAACTAGCAAAAATATATATATATATATATATATTTTTGCTAGTTATATATATATATATATATATATATATATATATATATATATATATTTATTATTATTACTATTATTATTACTATTATTACTATTATTATTATTATTATTATTATTATTATTATTATTATTATTATTATTATTATTGTTATTATTATTATTATTACTATTATTGCTATTATTACTATTAATTATTAAATAGAATATAATATACAATAATTTAAAAAATTACATATGTAATATTTAGATAAAATATAAAATATGAAAAAACCGATGCATGAATATACAATATATAGACTTTGAAAGAGCTGAGGTTTCAATATATTTTTGTAATATTATACTTTTTATCAATTTTTTCTTTGTATAAATACTTTTTATTAATTTACGACGTTTTTACCTGAAAAAAAAGAACAATTATAGTTTTTACCTAGTTTTATCCATAAAAGAACGTTTTTAGATTTTAAATTTAGATTATTAAACTATTTTTAAAATATTGAAATTTCAGATTAATTTTCAATTATTGAGGTAACATAATCATAATATTAATATATCTATATTCAAGTTTTATTATAAATCGCTTAAATAAAATATTTGCAAACGATAGTACATAACCAAATAAATAATTGAGATGTTTACAATAAGGTCCATAACAAAAAAAAACAAGGTATAAACATTTACCTCTTTTACTAACCCCCCCCCCCCCCCTCCGCCACCTCGCATCCATTGTATTGAATTTAGAACATTATCGAATGTTCGAAGTTTGCAAATCTCACACAAAAAAAACTACTAGTCTGTGATAAAATGAATAATTTTGGGTATTTTAAATTTTCGTTCCTATTCGGTTAAATGGTTTTTTATTTGCTTTGTGAGGATAAAAATAATCTTAAGAGCTTGTTTTTTTTTAATTTTAAGAGAATTTTTCAAAATAAATTTGTCAAAATGTTCGCAAATATTTTGAAATAACCAGCTGAAATGACCGATTGTTTTTTTAATCAACTATTTAAATAACTATCAAAAGAAACGCACATTATATATATTTAAAATTATAAATTTTATTATAATTTTTCAAAATCAGGTTGATGTCACTCATACAGTTAAAAACTACCCAGCCGGCAAATAACGTTGAAATATCGTTGAAACCTAACGCTGAATTTACGTTGTGTTAACGTTTAGAATGGAAGTTTTTTTCAACGTTGATTTTTCAAAGTTAAATCAACGTTAGGTTCAAACGTTATATCAACGTTGATTCGACGCGAAAAAACGTTACAATAACGTTGAATTTACGTTGATACAACGTTTAAAATGATAGTTTTTTTAACGTTGATTTATCAAAGTTAAAACGACTGTAAAACACTTTTTCACCATCAAAACGTGCTATGTATGTCAAAATGCATATATGTATGTAAACGTGCTATATGCGTCAAAATGTGATCACCATCAAAACGTAATATGCATGTACATTAGTGTTGCTGTACATTATCAAAGTATATTATGGATATTAAATCTATTCATAGTCTATACTTAGACTATTTAGAACTTTTTCAGTTTAGTTTAGTTAAAATAGCTAGGTATGATTAATGAAAGAGATAAAACTTGTTTTATTGAAAAATATATTTAAATACTACATATATTTACATATAATTGATTAAATCTACACAAATTTCTTCTCTTTTTCACCACCTTTTTGAAATAGAGCGTAATTTAGAAAGTCAAACAATGTCCCATTTAACCGAGGTTTTTTTTGGTCCATTGAATACAATAGAAGAAGCTGTAAATAAAAAATATATATTAAAAAAAATCAAAGAGGAAAGATTTTAAAAATATATAATGAATGGAAAAGTGTTACAACTTATGAAGGTATATCTTTTTCAACGCCATATAGATTAGTGTTATTAAAACATATTTTTCCACCTTTGCCCTTCATATCCGTGGAAGCCATATAATTTTTCAAAAATACTCTGAATTTTAAAAAAATAATATAACTGTTAGTTGGTTATTAATAACTTTTTTAAATATTTAATTTAAATAAAACAACCTTTTTTCAAAATAAATTAATAATCAAAATATAAAACATTTCTAGCATTGAAAAATAATTTTTGACATTTCTAGCATTGAAAAATAATAGTGGATTTTAGAAGTGGTTTTAAAAAAAAAGAGGACTTTAGAGGATTTTAGAGGAACTACGGACACCTTGATTATAAATGAGGTAAGAGTCCAATACTGTTTTTGATTACCTCAGCATAATTTTGTTTATTCTATTTTTAGAAGACGTTCCACCAACTAACTGTAATTGATTTATCTGTAAAAAACATAAAGTAAATCTAATATTATGCTTGTGGAGATATATTACATTTTTCTTTTGTAGTTGTGAATTTAAAATTTTCGCAACACTGTTTGCTTTCTTTTGGAATTAAAATAATTATACAAATAGTTATATATTTTGTATCAACAAAATAACTCTTTTTACCACATTATTTAAAAAATAATAATTGTAATATATAGATGTAATACCTGAAGGGAATTTAGTTTTTATTTGTATAAACTTAAGCCAATTCTTCTCTGCATTTTAATGCAATCAACGCATTGGTACCTGGAAGCCAACAAACAGTTTTATCACTAATCCAATTAGATGGAATTACTTCTTCTTGTAAATCTTCACTCCAAACAACTCCTTTCCACATTTTGATTTTGAAAAAATTCCATGAACTAATAATAAAATGAAGAAACCGTAATATAAGTGTACTAACAGGCCTAATTAAACTACCTAAATCTGAACATTTTATAACCATAATACTTACTAAACAATAATATTAGTAGACATTATTAGCAAAGATAAGATTTTCTTTATTTTATAAATTTATTATATTTTAATTCATTTTATTAATTTATTTATTACTCTATTATTCAGCAGAGTTCTGAATATATTATGTTCAAATAACTTATGGCTCAATAACAAAGAAAAATAATGAAAGAATCCAAGGTTGCTAAAACATAAACATCTACATAAGATAATTAGGGAATATTGAACAAAAATAGAAATACAAAAATACAAAAATACTCATTATTAATATAAAATATAATAGTATAACATAAGGTATATTATAATATATGACACAATAATATCTACTTTTAATTGAAATATAAAAGCAACAAAAATTTAAAAAAATAATATTTTAATAAATAATTATTATCATTCAAACAATTTTAGAGACCAAAAAATAACTTGTAACTTATTTTTACTCATCTTCATCTAATAAACATTCTAAATCAATCTAAATTTTCTTCTTTTCCGCCACCTTTTCGAAATGGAGGGCATTTTTAAAAGTTAGACAAAATGCCATCAATAAAAGTTTCAGTTCCTCCATCGTATTTAATAGAACAAGCTGTTAATAAAAAAGAATTAGGAAAAAAAAAAAAAAACACAAGGAGAAATTTTTGAATATATAATAAATGAGAATAAAAAAGTTTTACATGTCCTATAAAGATATACCTTTCACTACACCATATAAATTAGTGCTCTTAAAGCATATTTCCACCTTTCCCCTTTATATTCATGGAGATCACAAAATTGTTGGAAAATATTCTAAATTTTAATAGATAAGAGAACTGATATTAATTATGTGAGAACTAATATTAATTTTTTTTTTTTTTTTTTCAATTTAAATTGAACTCATTATCAAACAATTTTTTTGCTAAACAATTTAATCCTTAAAATTCAATAATAAATAAAAATTATTTTGATTACCTCAGCATTATTTTGTGAATTTTGTCTTTTAAAGATATTCCATCAATTGCAATTGATTCACCTAAAAAAAAAATATGTAAAGCTAATATTATTGTTTGAAATTTTAATTATCTTTATACAAATACTCGTCATATTTTTTAAGTGACAAATAAAAATGGATTTAATTACAATCACTTCATTTGTATTAAAAAATTAATATTAAAGCCTTAATCATACATTATACAAGAGTATTTTGTAACAAAATCTAAATAGTTGTTGCGATTTGTAATTTCTTTATCCGAAATTTAGCTTCTGTAAGCTTTAGAAAATTTTTAAAGAAATTATTGATGAATTTGAAGCTACGGGTACTAATGATTTTATATTGTTGTAATGTTTGTATTCATTCCCTGTTAGTTTCTGTAAGTCAAAATTTTTTAGATGTTTCCATAATAAACTCTGTTATATCTGAAATTTAGTGTGAGTCTGAATAATTTAATTTCTAAAATCTGTTTTGCATTGCCTGTATTATAACATCTTTACTTGGAAAAAAAAACATGTGCTTTAAAAGTGAGCTAGAAGCTTTCAACCATGAAGAAAATATTGCATTCGCTAATCCTAAAAATATATTAAACTTGTCAGCAATATCAGCTGTCAGTAATCCAAGTATTAGCATCATTAAAAATTCATCTTTGCTGCATCACATTTATTTTGGTCCAAGTAGTTAAGGATTTTTTTAAATTTCAAAAAACAGAAGTAGATGTTTTTTTAATATCACTTTATCTTCTTTTGATTAATGGTGATACAGCACTAACTGATGAAACACATTGACAGGTGTAAGGCCAGTATAAAAGTCACAAGATCTATCATTTTTAAAATAAATGTTTGTATACAAGTAAATTGCCATAACACGATTTGTTTGGATTATGTTTATATACAAATTTGTCTGGTTTCATAGTAATAACTGACGTGGTTGAAGTTAATTTTTCATATAAATCTTTATTTATTTATTTTTTGGGCTGAAGTTCTTTTTTAAAGTTATCAATTTCTTTTTTTAATTCTTGATGCTCTTTTATAAAACAACGCTTAACATTAAATTCAACATAAATTAATGGATCATTTTTTGAAAAAGTTGTATTATTTACATTTAATAATATAAGTCTTTGAGCATTGTAGCCCAAGTTAAACGAAAAATATCGATTTTTAAACGATAATGCTCTTTCAGAAAAATCGTCTGAACGTGTTTTCGATCTCTTGAAAATTCTATATGGTATAAGTTCAGTATTTACATATTTTTCTATTATAAATCTCTATAACTTAAACCGTTGAAATAATGTTTACGTTTTTACTTCCATTTCTGCGCGCGCATAAATTTTATGAAAAGGTGTATTGTATTTTTTGTCAACAATGATTTAACGTTGAAATAACGTTAAATAATCAACGTTTAAACCGTAACGTTGATTTAACGTCGGAAATAGTTGAACAACGTTCCCAGCGGACACGGACTTAAAAAAGACGTCTTTTAAACGTCTTATACACGTTTTGCACGTCTTTTGAACGCCTTTTGAACGTTTTGGACGTTTTTTGAACGTTCAAAAGACGTCTTTTTTTGGTCCGGTGCCCACTGGGTTGAAACAATGCTTCAACCGAATTTTAACGTTGAAACAACGTAATGATGCCGGCTGGGAACGATAATAACTTTTTTTATAAAAATATTAACTATAAAAGTAATAACAATAACTATTATAAATATTAACTAACCGCTATTTTTTTTTAATACCA